TCACAAGAACAAACCAAATTTAAAAACTAAAATAATCTAACTATTGAAATTCAAGAGAACTAATTTAATAACAAACTCAAACTTGAGTACCAAACATAGATCAACATACAAACTAATTGCTATAAAATTTAATACTCAAAACATTAAGATATATTAAGATCCATTCTTAATATAATAAGTTAAACGGCTATAAAAGACTCTTTATTAGAACTTATATTATTTTAAGTGTATTTAACACTTATATACAGTTAGTATAGCAATGAGTAATAAAATATTTACTTCTAAGTAAAGTTCTCTAGGTTATTGATTATTGCTAATTATTTGTATATAGTAAACATTAATACCCTTGCACACATATTGACAATGGTATTTTGTCAGTGAAACATTATATTCTCAAAAATTACTTTAAATACAGAAATATATAAATAAGTTATTCAGACAACCGATTTACATTAGCCAATCATGAAATTGTATGTTATGCTATCTACAAGTAACTTCATCAATATTCACAAGAGTTGACAATTTTTTCTTGATATTAATGAGGTTGATATTACTCAGTATATTGCTAAATTATTTACTAAAATTAACATATTATATAAACTGTTACGTTGAGTACTAGGGTGGAACATCAACTATGTAATCAAAACTATGCTAGATATGTTGATCAAATTACTATAATCAAATTTTTATTAGTGAAATTAATATAATAAATTGAATATTATTTTTATATTGTTTTAATTATAAAAAAAAGAGCAAAATTCTAGAAGATTCACATGAATATCATACTTATTTTTTGAATTTCTTTTGAATAAAAAATGTTCTTTAGAACCAGTTCAAAGGTTCTACATTTAATTTTTTATGATAGTTCTAAATAAATTCAAACTTAGTAATTTTGAAAGCCTTTTTTTTTTGGTTTAAATTAACAAAATTTAATTCTATAGGACGAATGTACAAAATTTATATATTGATAGAAGATTTTAAAATGTAGTTTTATTTGTTAGCATTTTATAAACAATTCATGAAAGTTTCAAAGTAATTCAATGACTTGTCAATAAGTTGAATCATTTTGAAATTTCAAGTATCAATTGTAATAATGATGACAGACAAAATCAAGTATTTAGAGCTTAATTTGACTGATCAGTGATGCATTATTTAGAAATATATAATGATAAGAGGTTCGATTAATATTTAATTAAACTTTACTTTTTTCTCAAATTAATTAATATTATTATACAACTTGTGAAGTACTAAGTACAATTAGAGTGAAAGTCATCAATAAAGTGATTTAGCATCAGAGAACATTGTGAACAAGCAAGTTGATCAAACCAATAAAACTGAAACTACTTACTTGTAATAAAATCACATTAAAACCTAAGGTTTAATCCAAGAATCCCAACAATGAAAAAGATTTTCTTCTGCTTAATTGACAAGTTTTAATTAAATTATAATAACTGCAGAATGCCAAAGATATCTAAATGAAAAGCCTAAATTTGTAAAGCAATTCAAGCATTGATAGATGCATGAAAAGCTGCTCAATATAACAGACAAATTCAGGAAATTAACCAACTAATAACACAAATAAATAATAGTAAATTGCAGTTAAGTTACCAAAATATTGTTTAATCAACTAGCCAAGGTATTATCCAATCGACTAGCCAATCAACTAGTAATAAAACAATAAATCAAATAACACTTCATCAAAAATTAATTAATATAATTGAACAATTACCTAATGATCAACTAAAGCCTGCTGTTCATTTATTTAACACTATATAGTATTCTAAAAGACCAAACAAAGGCAAATTACTTTTATTTTTTTTGCAAGATAAAGCCTTAAATTTTATAAAGCCATCTCTTTACAAACCATCTCAAGATCTGAGTTTATTAATTTAGAGTAATAAAACATTACAAAAAAAGATAAATCAACTAGAATATTCAAATACTAAAAAATATTATAAGGTTAGACAATTAGTAGGAACTTTATCATAGTATAAGTGTAAGCAAAGCCAGCATATCTCAAAAGTACATGCTGCTGTCTGTAAACCTCAACTTGCAGATTTGTGAAGTTTAAATGCAAGTATTTAAACAATTATAAAGAAAAATAAGTGACATTATACAACACAATTTATAAATATGGCAACTCAAGTATCGCAAATTGGTCAAATGTTATTAAGAAATACTGTTCAAGCTACACAGTTAATCTTAGATTTTTTAACTGAAGAAAAGTTCTCTTTACCAACTTCACATATATCAATTATTTGATGGAACTAAGAAATTAGTAAAATTTATACTAATCAAATTCTAAATAAAAACAATTACTTTACTTTTTTTAATCTTAAAATAATAATAGATGAGTCAACATATGATCAGCAAAAAATATTCGTACTATGCATTATATTTTGGAATTCAGAAACAAATTAACCTAATTTTCAACTGTTAGAAATGAAAAATTTGACAAGTTGTATAGGAAAATCTGTAGCTTAGGCAATATATAATATCTTTAATCATTTTAAAATTAATTTTCGTTAATGTTTGGTATGTGTTTCAGATAATACAAATTACATAAGTGAAAAATTTGGTGGTGTGATTATCTTATTCAACCAAATGAATGAAACTAATATGACTCAAATACTATGTGGACTTCATATGACATATATTATTATAAATAACTTTGAGAAAATAACATTTGAGAAATTGTCTAATATTAGCAGATTTTCACAAAAAAAGCATCCTGCAAATCTTTTATATTTAGTATGGGACCTTCATAATGGTTATAATAAATCTGACAAAGATAAACCAATGATGTTCATTTTGATTATATTTACAAACTATATAAAGAATGATTTCAATATCATATGACAAAATATCAACAGCTACTTCGATCAAGATGGCTTTATGAATTATTATGTGCAGAACAATATATTAAACATAAGAATCTTCATATAAAGTTTATAAACTGGTTTTTGTCTCAACTTAAAGCCTAAACTAATGCCCTGAAATTATATATTAAAAAATGAAAATTACTACAAAAATGACTTCATGACCCAATTTTAAACATACAAATTAAATTTTTAGTTCAATTTGGAAGGAACTTTTATTATCTAATAACTAAATTTTTAATGAGATATGACACTGAATTATATTTAAATAACCAAACTTCTAAATAAACAAATCTTCTTCCTGAAAGGCATGCACATCAAATATCAGAGTTTGTAGTATGTACAATAGCAAAACTTCAAAATATTATTGAGAATCCTTATTCATTTTTTGAATAAGAACTATTAGAAAGTACCTACATACTAGATAATCATCAACTTAATAAACTTACTTTAGATATTGAATGTGAAACTCAAAAGGCATTAGAACTTTATCAGAAATGGTTAAATTGTTGGTTGCATTTGTTATTAAGTATTTGTCATCTAGACAAAAAATATAGACAGGAGTTTGCATGAAGCTATGCTTATATTGTTTTAAAAATAACTTGGATATTAATACCTTCATTACAAGAACTATGTTATATAAAATTTATTGAATTGGGTATTGAAAATGATGATTTTAATGACTTTGATTTATTCAATACATTAAAAGATCCAATATTTAATTGTGAATTTTACCAATTCATTCGAGAATCACACAAATCTTTAGACCAGTTTCCTAAATTATTTGAATTTGTCAAGTATCAAATCTGGTATATTGTAATCCACCAACAACAGGTAGAAGGTCTTTTCAATAAATGAGATCTCAAAACTCATACTAATATGACAAGTAGTCTTCAGCAATCAAAGTTATGATTGTTGAATGTACCACTTAAAGAAATCAGTCGTAGCTTCATAGATCTGATGAAACTAAGAACAGAAAAACGTCAACAGCAACTAAAATCTACATGTAACCAAGATTTAGACCAAGAAAATTTCAATGATGATAAATGTGAAAAAAGAGCAAACATTTTATTTATTAAATTATTGTTATGTTATTAGCATATTATGTTGTTACTGTATTATGTTGTTAATGTAAGTTGTTACTGTATTATGTTCTTACTGTAATTACAGTATTAAATATACAATTCGGATTTGGTGGCTGTTTGTGTAACGTAAAAAATCTGTAATATAAAAAAATGCTATAATTATCTAACATAGTTTTGGTTACTTAGTTGATGTTCCACCCTAGTTGGGTACCTATTTTACACCGTAAAATTCAAACCTATTTGACAAATATTTAATGTGGTATGAGAATTTATTATCAAATTCGAATGAAAATTACTTTTACTTTGACTAAATTTAAATCGATTAAGTGGTAGATCGTAGTTGAAGAGTATAAATTTCATATTATTTTCATATCATATTGGAATGCCAAAAATTTTCTGGTAATATGTAAAAATCAGAGAAAGTGCGATCTACTAAACCAATTTTAACAATTCTATCACTATTAAAATCGTAATAACTTGCACTTTATATTATTTGTTAGAAACACAAGGAAAGTTTACTTGTCATAAAAAAAAATTTTATTGTAAGCTAGCTACATTCGACCCTATAGAAAAATTATATTAACTTCCGACATTTTCTATTCTAAATTTGCTATTCTTTCGTACCCTTTAACCACGATTTACTGTACCTCTTTAAAAAACACCAAAAAAAAACTTGAATTCATAAAAATAATATTTTTTTAGAATGGTGTACAGTATAATTTTTATTTATTATAAATAGGAGTCAAGCCAGAGATGCCTAACGATCAACCCGGATAGTCCGGCAAAACAAAAACAACAAAGGGAGCGAAAATTTAAAAAATATAAAAAATACAAAAAAACGGCCATCTAACCTATTTTGGGCACTAATTAAAAATGTCGGGAAGGCAATTTTACTTATAGTACTTGCCTTACCCTATGGACCTAACCTTAATCAAACTCATAAGGTCGATAAACATATCTGGCCAGAGATATTTAAAAAAAACCCCTATTTGAAATTATGAAAATATCGGTAATTTATGCATGGACTGTATTTTAGCTATCCTTTTTTCAGAGGAATTGAAAGATAAACAATTGATCCATCGCTTTTATCTATACTCAGGTGTTTTGAATTTAATGACCCATAACAAATTTTATCGGAAATGACATTAACAAATCCGAGAGGTTGACAATCCCTACAATCATCATGGTCAAATATTCGATTCACCAAGATTAAATGATTGTCGTTAGAGATATTAATTTTTTTACTACTTTGTAATATTTCCTTATTTTCTCTTTTGATCCAATCAAACTTCATTTCGCCAAAAAAATCGTTAACTTGACGAGAATTTGTTTTATCGATATTACTATAATTAATAAAGCATTATTAATAAATTAGAAAATCTAACACAAGTTTTGAGAAAAATATTAAAAGATCCAATTTCATGCAGTTAACCCAGTGATCGGCAATCACACATAATGACGTCATTTGTTTACCAGAATTAAATAGATTGACCTGAACTATACCGAAACTAGAACCTATAATTCTAAACTAACCCTAATGTGATATTGTTACGATCACTGGGTTAATTCTACCCTTTACGTATATTTTATAGAAAACTAGTAAGTGAAATTAAATTTGAATATTTCTATCTTAATTATGAAATTAATAAAAAAATTTTATTACTCAAGTGCAACGAGAACATTTAATGACAACTGAACTTTAATAAATTTAATCAGATCTTTTTACGATAAATTTGAGAAATTAAAATACTACCGTTGACCACTGTCTACAGTACCTGTTTCTAAAATTGAATAATTTCACGAACTAGCGATTTCATTGGTGGATAAGGAACTTGATTATGTAGTAGGATATACTGTTAACAGTGGTCAGCGGTATACTACTCACCAACTATATAAAGCCAATCTTTTCAAGACTTTTTCGTCAGTTACCTTCTTTTCAGCCTTAATGTCATAAACAAATAGCAATGAGGACTCTTGGCATACAGAGTCTTGGCGACGTGTAAGATAATTACCAATAACAAATGGTGATTCTCTTGGGTTGTGAACTATTTGAGTAACTGTTTCTGTATCTGAACTACTTTCTATTTGAGGAGAAATATTAACTGCATCTAAGACGCATGTACCAAAAGTACCAAACATGCCATGGTTGTTTATTATATGATAATCTTTTTCTCGAAGAGCCGAATACTTTCCACTTTTAAATACTAGTGGATGTTGGATACTAAAATTGAAGTCCGTTGGTGGTCCAAATATAATCCATCCGATTTTGATTTTAGTTTTATTACTAAACATTGGTATAGCCCTTTCACCTTTTATATGATGAATAACAATCACTGGGCGATTTTTATTTCCATCCATATAATCCACATATAAAGAAAATATATTTTCTTTTTGGCTCACAATTGATGCAAGAATATTGCACTCGCTAATATTTATGGTTTCATTAGTTATCTGCACTTTATGAATATATGGCATCTTTGTCTTTTTATATTCTTTCATGCTGAAATCGATTTCTTTAACGTTGGCTGTTATTAATGGTGAGATTAGAATTAAAATTTTGATTAAAGCTATAAATAATTTTATATTAATCACAGTAAGCTTTACCTTCTAAAATTTGATGACCCATGACGCTCAACACTTTTTTTTTCAATTCTTCATCTAATAAATCAAACAATGAATAAATTCCCTCATATCCAATTATTTTCCATTTTGTTGCATCAGCATTAAGAGATTGCCTCCAAAGATTCTTGTCATTTTGAGAATAGTCTCCACCAATAATTGTTTCGGATATACTTGTTTTGCTAGTATAATTATTAGATGTATCCTTATTAGCATTAACAGCATTGACTCCGAACTTAAGAATGTTTGAAGCAATTCCGACTACACCTTGTGCTTTAGTAATTTTGTCCTTAGAATTTTCAACTACAATGTATAATGAGATTGAGGAAATAAACATTAGAGTTACGCCTTAATCCGTCGTCTTTTTCGGGATATAAATCCTAAAACAAACAATCACGCCTATCACAGGACATAATATATATGAATTCTAATTCTAATCAACACACCTGAGTTTTTAGTATATTCTTCATTCCTTATTATTGTTCCTCCTAAAATAAGACATCGTGCATAAAAATGGCCATATTTTTGTGATAGTTCGCAAAGTTTACTAATCTTATAATGAACTGTATCTTTACCATTCACTACATTTTCCACATGTTCAATGAAAGTTTTTTCTAGAATAAAATTTTTGTCTGGAATATGTAATACTCCTTTTTTTACTCCTTCATACGAATGTATAGTATGTGTCATGTCTTGTTTAAGCATTATATCTGAATTTTCGTGCGATAACCCAATAGAAGTAGAAACTAATTCTGAATAAGCAGCCGAAAGTTTTAAATCAAACATAAGGGAACGTTTACATTCTGCAGTTTTTTTGTGTTTACAATCATATACTTGTTCATATGGTTCGAATTTATCTTCTTTCTTAATTCCATCAAGGTTAATTTTGAATGCTTGAACGGGTGCAATTGTTATGGAACCATCTTTGTTAAACTTGAAACCCTTTTCAAACCTTAATTGGGTTAAATCGAATTCAGCATTTTGAATAATATGCAAAAAATGTTTATCATCTTTTTTTTCAATGATATCTAAAAGACTGTATTTAGGTTCATCACTTGGTTTAATCATTGCATTGTGTTCTGAATATTTTGAAAAACGACAATTTGATCCCATATGAAGATCATCATCACTGTCACATTCATCTTTTAAGAGCGTTTTGCGAACATCATCAAGCCTATAGTGTTGTTAGCCGATCGACTAACTGCCGACCGGCTTGGTCGTCGGCCAATTCGTCAGCTTAGCCGGCTAAGTCATTAAGGGGTAAATGCAGGGTACTGCGATTTGGTTCATTTGATTGGTGATTAATTACGTAATTGCATGTGAGCAGAAAGTCGGTTTTCTTCGCTCTTTATTAACGTTATAAGTTGCAAAGTTTCAATTTTACATTATAAGCCCGCAATTCATATACATTGCTGATTAAGGGAAGGAGACTTACTTGTTACTTTAATTTCACTTCATAGTGGTAAATATTTTAGCGGCTATTAAAATATGATGGAAAGAAGTCGTGATGGAAAAGCTTTGCAAAGTTCATGAAAACAAAAACCAAATGCAGATTCCTTGGAACTTAGTTTTGATGAGAAATCTCAGCGAAGAGTATGACGTTGGTGTGACGGCAGGTAACATATGAGCTAGGTGCTGAGAAAAGGGTCAAAGTGGACTTTTTTTAAAAAAACTTTTTTTTGAGCGTAACTAATCTAAAATTAGTCTGGAACCATCTTTCACTTAAGGAACGTATTTAAAGTTTTTATTTTCTTATGATTTATTATAAAATTTATTAATTTTCTGCAAAACTCTTTTTTGTCTTTTCTC